CCTCTTTAGGAATCACCACGGAGGGTGTGTACCGGACTGTTGGCAGCAATATCCAGGTGCAGAAGTTGCTGAATGCCTTTTTTGGTAAGAATTAATTATTCCATGCAATTACCCTGTCCCACTTTTGAATTGCTGGGGAGTGACAGAGAGGATCAGGTACCACAGTCAGAAATGTCCAATGTGGGTTTTGGTCCCTGCAACCCCTCTGAGTCACATCTTCCCCTCCTTTCCTGGGCTTTTCCCCTTCTTTCCTGTATCTTGGTGAGCTGGGCTGGGATAACACAGTGAGCTGGACTGGGGAGGCAGCCTCTGCAGAGAGGCCTCCATCCTGGTGTAAGGTTTTTCCCTGGAATGATGGGGACACCTCAGTGTGTGCGTTCAGGAGTCAGTGTACCTGTTAAGAAGTCAATGGATGCATTCCTGCTGTAAGCCTGCTTGTGACTGGATCTGTCTGTCATACAAACGCGACAGCTGGGGCCAGTCTTTCCAGGAGACCCCCTCGGCAGTCGTGGGGCTCAGCAGTGCAGCTCTGTGCTGGCACAGGTGCTCCCAGGCTGGGACCTGGCTGAGGCCATCGTGCCCTGACCCCGTGGTCACCCACGACCCCTCGGGTGAGCACTGGGCTCGGTCTCGTGTGCCCAAGGCTGAGCCATTGTCTGCACCCTGCCTGGGGGCTGGAGCACAGGGCAGGGAGTGTGATCACCTCACTGCCTCGGTGCCTCAGGCTCACCTCAGCTCAGACATCTAATATTAATGCAGCATTCAAAACCTTTGGCTGTTGTTTCCTGTTGCTCCTACTCTGGATGTTGTTTATTAAGACGCTGGTTTGTGCTGGCATCTGGCTGTGCCCAGTTCTCATGGAGCCACGACTTGGGGCAGCTGCCTGGCTCCACTCACTTGTGACTCATTGCTGGGCCTCAAGTTTTATTGCTGCTTGATTCTCACCCTCCCTGTGAGCAGCTCTGGTTTTCTCTTCCAAACCGCACCAGTGAGTGGCTTTTTGTTTTGTTCATCTGCGTGGCTTGGACAACCACTTGCCACCCCACTGGTGTGAATGCACAATGGAAAGCTCAACACCACAGAAATAACTGCTGCAGCAGGATTTCAACCTGAACTGCTCTAAGGAGTTCGATTTTTTTTTGTTTGTTTCTAGTCCTATTGCTTTTTAAAAATAAATCCAGCTGTTTATTTTTTTAGTATAGCTGCCCCTCATCCTACAACCCCACCCTTCACTTCATGGCACCAGAGACATGAAGTGGTTGTTCAGTGAGGATAAGTAGGAGCAAACTGTATTTCCACACTGCTGGGCCTCCCCTGAGCTCCTTCCTCGCCGTGCAGCGAGAAGGAATGCTTCCAGAACAGCATTCAGGGGAGCAAAGGAGGGACTGGAGCTGGCACTCAGATTACTATGGATGTCAGAAAGCTTGTCTTGGGCCTGTTGAAATGTCTTGTTTCTACCAGTCTTGGGAAAAAGCAAGCTATAGAGAATACGTCATCACTGACTTTTCAGCACTGCTTAAATTTTATCTTCTGTTTCCCCCCGTGTCCCTCATTAGCACTGCTCTCCATTGTTTCCAAAGTCCTGACACTGGTGCTGTTCTGCTTTTCCCAGCCATGGGAATCAGAAGCTCTCTTTGTGTGCTGCTGTGGCTTCATATGTCTCGAGGGGAGACCCCACCAGAGCAGACTATTTATAAACAACCTCTAAATGAACCTTATTTTAAAGCTATTTTGTTTTTCTTCCAGATCCGAAATGCCCCGGCGACGTGGATCTCCAGAGTGGGGATTGGGACATCAAGACCATTACCAGCTCACTGAAGTTCTATCTCAGGTAGCATTGCAGGTCACCCCTGCCCCAAGGGGGCAAAGGAGCCTGGGGTTGTTCAGGTGAAAAGTGGAGTAATTTGCTAGATGTTTACATCTGGCTATTGGAAGGGGCAAAGTCACAAAGGCTTGGGGAAGAGGAATGGATTTTGATAAATATGGGTATTGCAGAACCCCCCCATGCCATGGGGAGAGCTGTTTCAGGAATACTGCCTGGGGAGGAGATGCCGCTGTGGTGGCACTGAGGGACCAGCCGGTTTCCCGTCAGTGCAGGATCGGTGACGAGTGGGTCATGCTGCCCTGCAGAACTCAGTTTTCTTTCTGGTTATTGCAGGAACCTGTCTGAACCCGTCATGACATACAAGCTCCACAAAGAGCTGGTCCTGGCTGCCAGTAAGTGCCCTGGCCCTGCCCATCCCACACAGGGTCCATCAAACTCATTTGGCAGAGCTCTGCCAGCCCAACTCCGTGGTGTCCAGCTGCTTCCCCTGCACAAATAGCAGTGGCCCTTCTTTTTAAGTGCTTACCTGTGCAGGGAAGGTGGATTTTCCTTCTTTCCTTTGCTGCTGGAGTGCCCGCCCTTCCTTTGAACAGGGTTTCATGCTCTCAGGGGGTCTTGAGAGCCAGGGTATGTCACTCACCTGAGAGCAGCACAACAGTCCTACAAGTATTGTTGCCCTATAGTATTGATACATTTATTTTAAAACCCCTGAGGGAATGGGATGTGCTGTTGCCACACAGATAGCACACAGATAGTTGCTCCCTTTAGGTCATGAAATTTGTCCTGGGATGTTGAATCCAAAGTGTCTGCCAGCACATGAAAGACATTTCTCTGCTGCAGCTCTTGGGATTGAGCCACAGCAGGAATAGCAGAGGTCAGCCAGGAAGCACAGGTGTATTGCCAGGCCCTCACGGGTGCTGAGCTGGCCCATCCTCCACTGTCCCCTCACTGTGGCCATTGCAGATAAGCTGTGACAGTTGTGAACTGGCTGCATCCTCAGAGCATGTTGGGAGCCAGTGTCCTGTGAGGGAGATGGAGGGATGCAGGAAGCTGGTTATTGCTCTCAACATGGTAGTGCTGCCATTCAGAAATATGTGGCATCGGAGCATCCCTCACTCCTCTGTGCCTCCTAGAAGTCAGTGGGAGGGGAGGGGCCACCTCTCTTCCCTGTAGCTCCCTGGAGAATGAATAACACCCAATCTTTCTTGGAAAGGGAAATGTTCCACCACCTGCTGATGGTGCTCAATAAAGCCCAGGATTTATTAGTTTCAGAACTGGTTAAGTCCATGATCAGGGCAGGAGCCTGATCCCTTCACTGCCCTCCCTCAGAAACTTGCAGCATTGAGCTTCCCAGCCACTAGATCCCAAACCATTCTTCTGACACTGAACATTTTATTGTTTCTGGATTATTTATGCTTCTAAGGGTGACCTCTCTGGTTCAGGGACTTAGGTTTTTTCCCTGCAGGATATTTTAGGTGCTGTTCAGTGTTAGAGCTCTCTGTGCTGATAAGACACCAGAGAGGGGCCATGTGCTTCCAGGTGTGCAGGGTGAGGGTGTGAAGGGGAGGACCTGCCTGTGCCCAACCTCTTTTGGAGTGTGGCCTTGAGCTCCTTTTCAAGCTCCATTTCTTCCTTTTTCCACTTCACGTTGTTTCTCCCAGTGTTCACCCTGTTGCTGTGAAGTCTCACTTCCCTCTGCTCCCTCTTGCTCTCACACTGCACAAAATATCAGCTCCCACAGGTTTCCTTTGGCTTTATCTTTCCCTGGTGTATTTACTTTGAAAGTGGTGGGCACAAACTCTTCTTTGTGTTACTGCTTTGCAGAGTCCGAGAACCTGGATTACAGGCTGGGAGCTATTCATGCACTGGTGTATAAACTGCCTGACAAGAACAGGGAGATGTTGGAGCTCCTCATCCAGCACCTCGTCAAGTAAGCAGATGTTTTCCTCTAAAACCAAAGAAAGGGAATAATGGAATCGGCAGAACAAGCCATTTTTGGGGTTAGGTTTGCAAAATTGTATTCACCACAGCCCCCTTGGGAATTGGACTGCACAAATAAGGTGATTATCCTTGCTGCCCTCTGCATGAGGAGATGCTTCTGTTTCTGATTGCCCCTTCCACCCCTTTCTGACACATACAGTGCAGGAAATTATTTTAAAATTAAAATACCCTCTTGAGAGCAGGGCTGTAAATCTCACCTCTAACAGGAATGTTAGGTCTGGGGTTTGGGAATGGCTGTGGGACCTGTGCCCATGGGCTGCATGTGGACCTTTGGTTTTATCTTCAGCTCTGTGGATCGATTCCTGAGCCCTCAGAACAGCCAGAAGACATGAGCATGTTGGTCAGGTTCTGGCACAGGCATGTGGCAGTGGGTGCTTGGTGGCACTGAGCAGTGACCTGTAGCTCCACCTGTGAGCCTGTTACTGATGATCATGGCACCAGCACTGCACTGGGAATGGATGTATTCCTGCCTCCTTGTCACTCCAGACTGAAAGGTTTGGTGGGCAGGGACAATACTTTGGGCTCCAGGAATTGCTTTGGAGAAGCTGTTTTCAAACGTGGACTGTTTCCATCAGCGGGGCTGACGTGGCACTGTCACCCTGACACATGAAGGGGAGTGCCACGCCCCAATGCCATGGTCCCTCAGGGGGACTGCTTTGGGGGACCCTGCCTGCGAGCTGGTTTAACCTTTCAGGTATCTGTCTGTGTGGTTTTAGGAGCCTTTCTGTGTGCGAGGCTGAGCCAAGTGCCTGGTGTGCACCGTGAATGCACCAAGTGCCCCATGAGGCTGGTGTCATGCTTGTGGTCACTGAGTTTATTCCTTAAAGTGTTTACTATTAAATTCTCTTCACTCTCCCCCTGGAGACAGAACCCTTTAAGGCCAGAGCTACAGGGAAAACCCAGAGTTCATCACCAGTCTCTCCTCAGGCCCGGTTCTGGCTGAGGCAGTGCCCACCTGCATGGTTTGTATTGCAGCCAACGTCTAGGGCTGCCCTGCAGGCTCCATCCTCCTCCAGAGCTGGGGAACTGCTGGGCAGGCAGAGCTCTGCCACGTGGAACTGGGGTCTCTCAGAGAGCAGATGCTGTGCAGAGATTTATTGGAAACCACTGAAGTGTGCTCCCTGCCTTCAGTCCTCTTCCCTCAGAGAGAAGGAAAATTAAATCCAGAAATTAGTTCTGGATAAATAGGATATAGGATTTAAATTATTCCTTTGTTGAGTCCTTTTGTATATGTGTTGTGCAGATGACTTTTGATTGCAGAGTTAAAGTGGAACTGGGAGTGGGAAGGGATCAAATGAAAATGCTGTCAGCACGTTGCTCTCGCCAGCAGCTGTCCAAGCCAAATGTGCATGTCGGAGCTAGAACCGTGTTTGTCTCTGCTGGGAAACAAGTTCTCCTGAAACACAGTGAAGAAAATTGAAGGACTGATTCTTACTGTATCCTGGTTTTTTAGGGCTTGTAATAAGATCTGTTTGGAAAAAAAACAAACCAAACCTTATTCGCCCTTCCCCTGCTCTCTGCAGTGTCTGTGAGCACAGCCGGGAGAACCTGATGTCACCGTCCAACATGGGGGTGATCTTCGGGCCCACTCTCATGCGAGCGCAGGAGGACACTGTGGCAGCGATGATGAACATCAAGTTCCAAAACATCGTGGTCGAGATCCTGATCGAGCACTTTGGGAAGGTACGTGGCAGCTCCCCCAGCCCGGAGCGGCTCCTGCACGCTGTTGCTGTGGCAACGCAGCAGCACTCTGGCTCCTTCTGGAGTCTCCTTAGGCTGGGTTTATAGAACACACAGCTCTGAAAGGCTTCAGGAGGAAACAAAGAAGAGCACGTGTGTTCCTCACCGCTGCCTTTAGCTGATCCCAGAGCAAACACCGAGTCTGGGCATTTTTGCTTTTTGTTTTTAAATAAGCTAAAAACCCCTGTTATATGGCTGGACATTACAGGACCTGACACTTTCCTTTGCTAGACAGGGGCTAGGCCAGAGCAATACTGGTTTTAGTGTACACAGTCCAAGATGAGACACTGCATGACTGTTAAATCAGGGGAAAAAACCAGAGCAGACAAGTATTGAATGGTTGATGAAAGTAATTCAACTGTGAATGTGATCCGTTCAGATCCAGATGTGAGGACAGCATGGGGATGGTGTGGGAAGTCTAGAGGGAGCTGCTCCCTGGAGTGTGGGGAGTCTGGGGAGCTGCTGCCTGGGGTGGAGTGGTCGGAGGAGGCTGCAGCTGGTGTCCCGTGCCTGTGGTGTTGGGCCATGCTCTGCACAGGGCAGTGAGCCCTGGAGAGCCTCCAGCCCCATCTGCCTTCCATGGGTCTGTGCTGGCTGTTTCAGCCTGAGCATCACCCAGGGTCAGGCTGCTGGGATGGTGCTGAAGATCCACATGCAGACAACAGCTTTGTTGTGTGGGGTTCTGTCTTTGGAGAGCAGAAAATGCCTCTGTCTCTGCCTGCTCCTGGCAACATCTGATATCGGCTCAGGGATGTCAGGGTGGCTAGGGTGGCAAGAGCTGTGTGTTAATTTTTAAAGCTTGAGCAGCATTTGCATCCCGAGCAGCAGATCCCAAGCAGGGTGCAGACTGCTTCCCTGGTAACTGCCCCAGGTTCCGAGGAGTGGGTTGGTCCTTCAGCTTTCCATAACAGCATACACAGTGTCCAAACTTCTCTCATGCCTTAGAGAAGGAAAGCTCTGGAGCCATCCATTCAGGGATGCTGTTTGCTGTGAGGGGGCTGAGGCAGCTCCCAGTGATAGGGCAGCCCAGGGGCAGGGGCAAAGCTCCCTTCGGGAAAGGAAGAGGCAGCTGAAGCTGGATCAGCAAGGTTCTTGCAACAGGAGATGTGGAGCCAGAACAACCGGGTGGGGACCAGATGTGGGGGTGGGACCAGATGCGGGGGTGGAAGTTGGCTGTGCCGAGGATTGAAACCAGAGAAACAGGATGAAAGAGCTCAGAGACACTTCTGAGGATCCACACCAGAAGCTCATGGAGACACAAGACAGTTCCTTTGTAGGTCTCTGTGAAGTCTTTTAATAAGTTCTCACAGAAAAACAGGGACTGGTTTGTATCTGGGGTCTCACCCGCCTCACTCCAGAACTAAGGCTCTGTCCTCCCCCCATACAGCCCACGGCTCAGGCTGAGTCACCACACCATTACCCTGCCACCTCCAAGAGCTGGTATGGCACCTTTAATTAAGCCACATGTCCCTTTGCTTGCTTTTAATTAGTCTAGCAATAAGGTTAAGTCACATTTATTAGACTGAGCTTGTAAGTTCAGTGTTTTAGAGCTGAGAGTGTCTTCACCTCACACATGAGCAAACAGATGAGTCTGGAGGAAGAGGGGATGTGGGTTATGTGGTGCAATGTGAAGACTCTGAGGACAAAGTAACTACGAGGTCTTTGTGGATAATATTACTGTTTTCACAGCTCATGTTTCAGTACTATGGTTAAGTTAAATAGGTTGGTGGTTCTGAAAACATCTTCCCTATACAACCCTCCCTAAAGGGTCAATATCTTTGTACCTTCAGGTTGTTTAACTTGGATTGTCATTTAGAAGCAAAGCAGAGGTTGCACTCACATCTTAAACAGAGTTGTTTGTGGTGGGTTTAGCTTGGGTCTCAGGTGTTGAAAAGCACCTTGTGAAAACAGCATTCTGTGGTACCTCTATAAGCATCCATGGGGAACTTAACACTTCTTTTAAAAACAGAGTTGGATTCTGGTCAGGATATAGGAATGAGGTGGATATTTCCAAAAAAATTGCCCTCCTGCAGGCAGTACTTTGCTGTTTTAATAATACATGAGCTGTTGCTTTTAACTCCCTCTAATTCCAGGTAGGGAGAGCACTCCAGACCTTGTGTTCCGGAGTGGGAACATGTCCTGCCCCTGCCCCAGGCAGAGCCCTGTGGGCACTGAGCCAGCTCACGCCCTCTGCCACCAAACCCTGAATGGTTTGGGTTTTTTTCCAAGAGAGGGTGTGGAGTCTCCCTCACTGGTGATGTTCCAGAACCATCTGGACACAGTCCTGTGCCAGTTGCTCCAGAAGACCCTGCCTGAGCAGGGGGATGGACTGTATGGGCCACTGTGGTCCTTTCTCACCTGAATCGTTCTGTGACTGTTGCTCCTCCTCTCCTCATGCAGAGGGGGGCAGGGCAGGCTGTCAGGAGCAAAGCCCAGCACACAGATGATCCCAAGCCAGCCCAGGCTGGGCACAGAGCAGCCCAGCCATGGGGTGTGGAGAACCTGGCTGCTGCTGCTGCTCCTTGGGACCAAGGAGGTTAAACCAGGGATATGCTTTCCCATCCCCCATCTTGATCTCCCAGTCCTGCTCTTTGGCTGGGAGAAGAAGGAATACACTTTTGGTTTGAATTACCACAATAGGGCACTTAATCAAAGTAAAATGTTACATTTCTTCATGTTAAGATTTTTCTGGGTGATGCAACAATGTTTTTGTATATCAGAGCGTGGCCCGAGGGTGTGGTGGCCCAGCACTCTCATCCTCTGGGCTGGAGCTGGGAGGGGACCAGCTCCACATCTCCCAGGCCACCCCTCCACAGTAACCCAGGCTTTCAAGCCTAATATAACTTCAATTAACATCCCTGGGAAGAACCCCGGAGCAGCTCCTTAACATGATGTTTCAGCTATTCAAATGAAATTCTTTTTCAGCTCTAAAAAAAACCCCTGAGATAAAGAAGCTCTCAATTAAACCCACCAAATAGGTGCCACATGACCAGTGAGAAACAGCAGCTTTGTTTTTATGTCTCTGTTTCTTCCCAGGTAATTTCCTGGTACCACACACTTCATTGTAAACTGAGAGCTGAAGGGTTGTAGCGGTAGAGCTGAAACAATGATGGGTTGGTTTGGGTGTTTTGGAGATCATATCACCTCACCAGTGGGAATTTTGATGTTCCTCAAGACCTGTCAGCTCCAAAGCTTCAAAGCCTCCCTTGTCTGCTCCAGAAGAATTTGCTTTTACAGATTGTCTGTGTTTGTGATCTCACTGCTGAGCCGTGGAGACGGTGTCATGGTGGGGAGGGTGTCATGGTGGGGAGGGTGTCGTGGTGGGGAGGGTGTCGTGGTGGGGAGGGTGTTGTGGTGTGGAGGGTGTTGGTGATGGGGAGGGTGTCATGGTGGGGAGGGTGTTGGTGATGGGGAGGGTGCTGGTGGTGTCCACCATCCCCCCCTGTGCTGGGAGGTGAGGCAGCAGCCCCTTTGTTTTGGGTCACCTGGACATGTCTCCCTTTACAGATCTACTCCGGCCCCCCAGAGGACACCTCGGCCCCTCCAGTGCCCCCACCCAGGGTGGCTGCCCGGCGGCACAAACCCATCACCATCTCCAAACGTCCCCTGAGGGAAAGACCTGTCTTCTTTGGTGCTTCTGTGGAGGACAGTGGAGGTCAGTCCAGCTGTTCTCTGATGCCTTACTTGCCTCTCACCCCTCTTGCTTCCTGTAACCCCTTTCTGGAAGCAGTGGAGGAAAGAGCAGCAGGGCTGCACTTCCTCAGCCCTGAACACGTCAGGCAGTGAGGGCTGTTCTGAGAGAAAGGAAAGCAAAAAATACACACATTTGGTTGCATTATGTCATAAGTCAGATTCTGTGGGATTTGGGGTTTTCTACTTCATGCTGTGTTCTCCATTAGCTAAACTAAGGCTGGTTCTTGCACAAGAGAGGCCCAGAGGAGAGGTTTAGTGGCTTTGGAGGTAAAGGTGCAAAGGGAACTGCACAGGGAGGTGGTGTTTGCAGGGCTGGCTCAGCCACTGGTGCTTCCACATCCAGAGCAAGAACTCCAAAGCACTTTTTCAGGGCCCAGTGATAGTATTTTCTAGACCAAGTTCAACCCTGCTGTTAAATCCAGATGACTGTAAGGAAGTGCTGAAGCCCTTATAACGTTGAAGGGCACATCTGCTTTAAATCATGTTTCTGCACCCAATTTGCTCCAACTGTCACTGCAAGCTGTGCTCTGATCCCATTGTTACCAAAGAGATGACAAATTTCTTTCTCCATTGGAGTTTTCAGAGCTCTGATGATGTTTTAGGCATTAGAGTGTACATGAAATATACTTTATGAACTAGCAAAACATGATTGATTCACATTGCTCCTTCAAACCCCCAGACTGCTCATACCGTTGGGGCTGGCCTTGCGTTTCGATGCTTCCCCGAGCTGGGAGCGGAAGCGTTAGCAGGGAGCAGGGAGCGGGCAGGTTCGGAGCAGACCCCCTGCTCCTGGGTCTGCGGCACTGCCAGAGGGGTGAGATGAAGGGTTTTTGGTGGGATGTGGAGCGTGGCACACAACTAACCCCACGGCTCTCTGTCCCCTTGGCTCCGCAGCAGAGTGGCTCGGCCAGACCCCCAATGGAGGCGGCGTGGAGGCCCCCAAGCCGCTGCACCGCAGCCGCCCGCCCGCACCCCGGCCCGGGGGGGATGAACTGGGGCGTCCCCCGGCCGAGGGCCGGCCCCAGCCGCGCCCCGAGCCCGAGCTGGGCAAGCCGGTGGCCAGGCTGCAGGATGGAGGGGCGAAACCGCCAGGCAAGGCGGCCAACGGGGTGGTGAGCAGCCCTGCCCTGAGGAGCGGCACCCTGCAGGCCAGGAGACCGGCCCCACGGCCGGGGGGCAGAGACGGTGAGTGTGCCCCAGAGCCAACCCTGCCCCCGGGGCAGGCACCTCTGCCTGAGGGGCCAGAGCCAACCCTCCCTGGGGCGGGTGGGGGGCTTCTCTCCTTGAGTCCTCTTAGTGTAGCTCAGCAGGAGGGGCAGAGACAAGAAAACAACCTGAGACGTGGGAGCAGCTGAAGTGTCACACTCATTCCATGCTGACTTGGCCCTAAAAGACTTTGAAGGGTTAAGTGAATAGTGAGGTTGGCTGGATCTTGGGGAAGACAAGCAACTGAGGAGAGAAGTAGCGCTACTGGATAAAAGCTCAGAGAAGCAGTGGCTGCAGGGATCACCAGTTTATGCTGTTCCTCTCCCTTTTGCAAACAGCACTGCACAGGATTTAGTTAAGAACACTTGTCATTCCCAGGCAGTATCAGCTTCACAGTCAGCAGCTCCATGGCATTTGTCCTCACCAGCCCTGTTCCCAGTGCCAGGAAGGCTGTGCTGGGGCAGGCAGCGCGGGACCTGCCTTTCCATGGGCTCTGTCCCTCCCTTCTGGCAATCGGCCACTGTCAGCGAGAGGGTGTTGGGGCAGACGGACAGAACTAAATCCAGTGACCTGTTCAGTGTCCCCTCATAAACATCCCCCGTCTGCCAAAGCTTCCTGCTCAGTGTTTGTGATCTCCATCCTGCAGGTGACTGTGACGGTGTCCCTAAGCCGCGTTCCCATAGCGATAAGCCCGTGATAATGCGGCCTCCCGTGAGACCTCCAGATCCACCCTGCAGGACTCCAGTCCCTCCAAAGCTGGAGCAGAGGCCAGATCTGATAGCAGGGACAGCAGAGGAGATGCCCTCATCTGTGTAAGCCAGCAGCCCAGGAAGGGTGCGGTGCCAGTGGGGGTTCCTGGGGGCTTGGGGGAGCACGAGGCAGAAGAGGTGAGCCTGGGCAGCAGGAGTAGGAGTAGGTATCACCTCCCAGGAATTTTGGAAGAGGAGGAGGAGAAATACCCAGATGGTTTCCAGGGCCAGGGGTGTGCAGTGGCTGGAAGCCGTGGACATCCACTCGGCACCAGTGCGAGCACGGGTTCAAGTGTCACTTGGAAAGCTGAGCAGAGGGCATGCATGGCCTCCCTTCCTGGTCCTAGCAAACCTCTCAAATGAGACACTTCCTGGGGCAGAACAAGATCCAGCTTGGATCTTCTTAAGGACATTGGACAGAGTTCAGCTTCCTCCTCAGATTTCTTTCAGATTTTAGAGAGTAAGAAACCCTGCTGGCTTCAGTGGGAATTAAACAAAAGAAAAAACAGTGCCATGAGTGTCAGCTCCATGACCCAGGGCCAGGCCTTGTCTCTCCTGAACTGCCTGGGAGAACTTCTCTTTCTGTGAGCGGGGGCATGAGCACATAGACACTGAAGGAGAGGCCATGAAGGGCATGGATGCAGGCATATAACCCAGCACATGGCATTATAGGCAAGAACATGGAAATAATGGATGGATGTGGCACTTAGTGCGGTGGTTAAGATGGCGTGGTAATGTTTGGTCAAAGGTTGCACTAGATGATCTTGGGAGGTCTTTTCCAGCCCATATGATTCCATGATTCTGTGGTTCTGTAAGCAGCCCAGCCAAAGTGCTGGTGTGTGCTGTGAGGGCAGAGGGCACAGAGCGGGTGGCAGAAGGAGCCCAGCCGTGCCTTGGCACAAGTGCCGTCATTTGAAGGGGATCTCTGCAGTTCTGCCAATGCTGTGGCTCTCTTTTGCCTGGCACAGAGCGGATCTAATTAGCAAATAATCAGGTCACCGGCGTGACCTTTCCTGTCCTCTTTGCAGGGTGGCCTCTAGGACCAAGTTCTTTGAGACGGCTTCCCGAAGGTAAGGCTGGCATGGGGAAGGTGGCACATGGATAGCAGCAACCCTGCAGCACAGGGTGCTCCCTCTGAAGCAGAGCCAGCACAGCCACCCTGAGCCCCAGCCCCAGCCCCAGCCTGGCTTCGTCTTGCTTATGGGCAGCAGATGGGGCTTAGCTAGAATGCTGAAACTACACAAAGAACACAAAAACGTGAATCCAGATACAAACTTGATACATTAAGTCTGCCAAATGACACTCATCCCTGTGGATCCTTTTTGCCATGTGTGTGGGTCTGCCCAGCACAGTGCCCATTGTGCCTGGGCTTTGTGGGGAGACAGGTCATGGGCAAGCTGAGGAGGGCTGATCAGAGCATGTGGCTGGTCCCACACCGGGGGGTCGCGGGCAGGGAGGTGGGGGTTGATGGGTGACAGTGTGGACACCAAAGCCCTCAGCTCTGAGTGCCAGCAGGTGCCATTTGTGATAACGTCTGCCCAAATGAGCTCCAGCTCTGAAAGGTCACCAGTCTCTGCCCAAGGGGGAGCATGTTTCTGGGTGAGTCTGAGAACTGCTGCTGCTAGTGCTGCTGGGGAGGCCATTTGTTCTATTGTGAAGCACACCTCTCCCTGCCTGTTACCCAGCCTTGAGCAGCTTGTGGAGCTGAATCGGAGCCTGCTTCTTGCATTCATTTTTTCTTTGTTCTTTTATTTCCTTTTATCCAGTTCTTCATCACCACAAGGCAGGATCCCAGGTGATGAGAGCTGAGGCTAAAGGTATGTGTTTATGACAACAAATGAAATAATAAACAGAAAGCATTGACAAATCCAGCATTTATGGGGTGGTGGTAGTCCAGTGGCTGTGCCATCACTGACGGATTTGCACTGCTGCAGAGCATAGAGCTTGTTTTCTTTTTCCAGGCTTTGTAAGCAGCTCGGCCCAGCTGGACCCAGGAGACTTTCTGTGCTTGTGACCCAGGAGTCACAGCTGAGCCTTGCCAGCCCCAGTGCCCTGGAGAGCAGCCTTCTTACTGGACGATGATTTCCGAGCCACAAGTGGCTCAAGAAATTAGAAGAGGGAGACCATGATGGAGAGCAGGCCCTGCCCACGTGTCTGTGTTGAACTGTTTTCAGCCCTCCCACCTCTCCTCCCTGCAGTCTGTGGCAGTGCCTGTGTGTGCCCGTGCACGTCCGGCAGTGTGGGCAGGGCTGGGGGACCCCGACCAGCTGCGGAAGGGACAGCGGAGCCACCATTTACCTGCCCACTTTTGGGAAACATACCTTGACAAGGGTGGCCTTGGACAGTGCAGGGGCTGAGGCCCCGTGCCTGGGTACAAGGGCAGAGCAGCTGCAGCTGGGGTTGGCCCTCCTTGCCCTGAGAAGCCCCTTCCTCTGTGCTCGTGTTCCTTGCTTGGTGAGCTGTGCTGCGGTTGCAGTGCGTGGGGCAACTGTGCCTGGGAACACTGCCCGTGCTGGGCAGGGACAGGGGAAGCACTGTGTTCAGCTCTGTGGGACATCTCATCTCCTGGGCATCAGCATGTCCCTGTCCTGGAAGGCTGTGCCAGCGGGCGTGGCTGGGCCGGAGGCTTGGCCTGAGTGGGACTGAGCCCTGCCCGGGGTCAGCAGCTTCCGAGGGTGCAGCTGGGGGAAGGGGGCAGCAAGGGCTCCTCCTCCTGTCTGAGCCACACTCCCACCAGATCTGCTTCCCACAGGCACTCCAAGAAGTCTCTGTTCTGGGGTGATTCTGGTGGGCCAGCACAGAGGTGCTGAGGATCTGAAACTCACTGATTGGGGGTCAAACCCACCATTTTTCTAAGATTTCTTGTTTTCTTGTTTATGGATTTCCAGTCTGAGACGCCCAGTCTGTCCCTCAGCAGTGGTCTCGTGGGCAGTTACTGTTGCCTCAGAGCTGTCCCTGGCCAGGACCACCTCGTGCACCCCCATAGCAGTAGAGGCTTGTCCCAGGGCCATACACAGCAGCCTGTGGCTTCCCCGCTTCCTCTGCCAGCCCAAAGGCAATTTCCTCATTTTGAATGATTTTCCTTAGGTGCTGGGAGCATTCCAAAAGAGTGGGCAAACATTCCACCAACTGCTTCCCGGGTTCTCTATCCCTGGAGTGTGCTGTGTCCTGCCTGGCTCACGTTTTCCAGAGGGATGCTGCCACCATCCTTCCCGTCTGCCGGGGCTTTGCCTCGTGTGTGATCTTGTGTCTGTTATTGCTGGATGTCACACGCTGGTGCTCACACATGTTGTGTCCATGGTGCTCCTGCTCCCTTGGCTTCAGCAGTGCCCCAGTTGCTCCCTCCTTTGGATCTGGTGCATGAAAGAGGCTTTAAAACCAAACCAGCCTTGTGCTGTGGTGGCTGAGGCTGTGCCACAGGCACCAGTAGCACCTCGGGCTGTGCTGGGCCCTTCCTGCTGCAGCCCCTTGCCAGCAGCTCCAGGACAAGTGTCTTGGAGTCAGTAGGATGGAGCTGAAGTAAGAGGGAGCTGCTCTGACCAGCCCAGCAGCAGGGCCACCCACGTGCAGCACCACCAGCCCCGGCCCTGCGGCAGCCCCGGCCCCTCCTGGGGTGACTGTCCCAGGGGTGGCAGTCTGGTGGCTCCCACACACAAGGCCAGCATTTCCCAACTTCCTTCCCTGCTCAGGGCTGTGCTTTAGGGACCCCTCAAGCCTTTCAGTTTGGGAAGCTCTCGGGGTTCTCCTGCTGTGGGTGGCTCTGGAGGGGACACTCCCAGGACTCGTCTTGCAGGAGCAGTGGCTGTCACATTCCCCTCCTGCTCGCACCCACTGCCCAGCACAGACCCCCGAGACAGAGCCAGGCTCCACAGGCAGGGGAGTCCAGGAGAGCTGAGTTTCAGTCTGACAATGTGAGCAATGGGGAGGAAGCAGCAGACATATTTCATGGTGTCCTTTTAAAGCCCTTTGTCACTTGTGTGTCTGTGCTGGTTTTTCCGCCTCTGTGGGCGCAGCTGAACATGGGACCAGCAGTGGAGTGGTGGGGTGCTGGGGGTGATGGAGGCTGTGGGGCCCAATCTCTGCTGTCTTGGGGGCACAGTCCCCACTGCTCTGGGCACAGTTCCTGCTGCCAGTGCCCCAGGAGCAACAGCTGGGAACTCGGGATCGCCCCATGTGCGCAGCAGCCCCCCGGCATCAGCCCTGGAGCTGTTCCTGTGTGTACAAGCATAGGTTGCTATATGTGTTTATAAAGTTTCTATGAAGTCAAACAGAACCCTCACAGTGTGTTTTGTTTCTCTTTTTCCAGCCTGTGCTGTCCCTGCTGCTGCCCCCTCTGCAGGGAGGTGCCTTGTGGGGTCCTGGCCCCGTGCCCGGGCAGGCTGCCCAGGGCAGTGTCTGTGGGACTGGGAGCGCCCTGGGCTCTGCATGGCCCCACTCTGCGTTTGCAGGCCCCAGGTTTCTGCATTTTCTGACAGGAGGAGATGTCCTGCAGAGGCTGAATATTCCCATGCTGCCACACTGCCAGGACAGTGTCCTGCACTGCGAGTCACTGAGGCTTCAGGTTTGCGGTGACCAGCACCGGCGTCTTTCCATCTATCCAGCACCTTTCTCCTCTCCTCGCATCTGTTTTCCCACCCCTCATTACTCTGACACCATGCACCAGTGTTTGCTTTTCAGGCCCCTTGCTTTTCTTCACCAACAAGCTCTTTCAGGAGACACCAGTTTTCTCTGTCTGAAACGGGAATGTTGCATTTGGAGTCTGGGTTTCTGGAGAAGCCTGACAAGGTGGCCATGCCAGAGGGTGCCAGAGCAGGAGGGTGTTCCCAGGGACACGGGCAGCTGAGCTGCCGCCACGGCCCTGAGAGTCTCCAGCTGGAGTGGGGGTGCACGTCCACCCACGCTGCTCAGGGCTGGTTGGTGTTTCAAATCCTCCTGCAATTATTTTGTACCAGCCCAGCCCTCGCACGAGGCCAGGTTTGCTGGCTCAGAGGGCTGTGCTGTGCCCTGGTTCTGGGCTCCTGCGGCAGGCACAGATGCAATGCAGCTGGAGCAGCAACTTGAGGTTTCTCTGCTTGTTTTTTCTGGCTCCTAGTTTCTCTGAAATGTTTTCCTCTGGAGCTGTAAGTTTTCCAGAGCTGGATGCCTTCAAAACAGCGGCATTTAGGGAACTAAACTGTTTTTTTTGCTATTAGCCCTTGTATTAAGCGATCACGAACTGGAATGAGCACCGAGGCACTGCCCCAACAATCTCCCAGCCCACAGCTGCCTGGTTTGCTTTCTTACAGAAACCATTTGGATTTAATCTGAGCACAAAAATTATTTTCCAACACAAGTAAAGCCTTGTAGGTTTTTACACAGAGAGAAGATAACAAAACAAGCAGTTCTAAAGCTTGAGCCTGGGCCTCACAAAGTTCTTCTCAGAGGAAGAATTTGGAGAGGCCACAGACACTGCAGCAGACACATCTGTGTGATAAATTTAGAATTGAAATGTACTTAGTGGAACACTGACATCTGAAATTTATGTGTTGCACAGAGACCCATGAAGGCGCTGGAATCCACCCACATGGGACTCCTTGCAGGATCAGAGCTGCAGTTTTCAGCTCTGTAGTTCTCCCTGGCCCACCCCACTGCACAATTACCCATCTGGATGCTCCAAGCTGGGAGCAGCTCCCTGTGCCGGGTGGGTTCCTGGCAGCCCTCAGTAGATTTCTTGTCCTGTACACACAGCTGTAAATCAGGTCAGGACACCAAAAAGTCCTGTGATTGGTTTAATCAGTCAGGAGATGCTTTAAACCAGTAAAAGCTGTGATGTTTTTCATTCTCTGTTTTCAGAAGTGCTTTAACAACCTTTCTCAGAGTTTCTAAGGGCTCCTGCAAGGCAGAACTTCTGAAGATTCTTGAAATCCTGTATAAAATGTGGCCATTCTCATGTCGGCTCAGAGGAAAACCCACAGGACTTCCATCGTCCCACAGCTCCATCTTCCCTTGCTCTGCATGCTGCACACCCTGGCTCCCTTTGGTGACTCGACCGTGCAGGCTCTCCCTGTGGCACTGTGGCAGTGTGGCACTGTACCATGTCACCCCACTGTGCCATTGTGTCACTCTGCTGGGCCCCGCTTGCCCTCCCCTTGGCGCCTGCCCCCCGCCGGCGGGCAGAGGTGGCAGAGTTTTGGGTACAGAACAAACCCCGGTGTTGGCCGATGTCCCTCGTGTCAGGGCGCTCGAGTCGCCGTGACCCCGCTGAGGTCTGCAGTTGCCACCAGCTCATTCCTGGGAGCGTGGGCACAGCCCTGACAGCCTGCAAGGCACAGGGGCTGGCTGCCAGCTCAGCAGGGTCCCAGTGCTGGCACTTGTGGGCCCCCGGGGAGGGGAACTGGTGCCAAAAGAGCTGTTCGACACAGTTCATCATCATTTTGGGAAACGGAACTCTTTTCTGTTCTAAAAATTTCCTGCTGGCTGCTCCGAGGACAAGGATAAGCAAACAGCCTTAAAGCACAGGGCCATTTTGGGGCTTTCATGATATTTCCATGTTTCCAATTTTCTTCTTCTTTCTGATGGCTGAACTTTCTCCAGAGATCCCAGTGCCGCTCTGCTGGGGAGCAGAGGCATCTCCAAGGGCAGCTCTGGAACCCTCACGTGGCTCAGCCCCAGTGGTGGCACAGTGGCTGTCACTGCCCCGGCAGCTGCTGCGGTTTGGAAGGGTCGGGGGGGCAGCAGCTTCACAGTGGTCTGGGGTCCTGGTGAGCAGTGGCAGGGGGGTGGGATGGGGATGCAGGATGGGGGATGCAGGATGGGGGATGCAGGGTGTGGGATATGGGATGTCGGATGCAGGATAGGGGATGTGGGATGCAGAGTGCAGGGTGTGGGATGCAGGGTATGAGATGCAGGGTGTGGGATGCAGGACACAGGGTGTGGGATATGGGATGTCAGATGCAGGATAGGAGATGTGGGATGCAGAGTGCGGGATGTGGGATGCAGGGTGTGGGATGCATGGTGTGGGATGCAGGACACAGGGTGTGGGATGTGGGGTGCATGGTGTGGGATGCAGGACACAGGGTGTGGGATGTGGGATGCAGGGTGTGGGATGCAGGACACAGGGTGTGGGATGTGGGGTGCATGGTGTGGGATGCAGGATGTGGGATACGCAGCAGAGACAGCTGGAACATAACGGGGCAGAAGGAGTTGAGTGAGGTGGATTTGCCCCTTGGCAGTCCCAACCCTGGCAGCCCTCGGACTGGTTCCCTCACTGTCCTCCCACAGACACTGGTCAAGCCACACGAGTCAGG